TACATCAATCCTAACCCTACCATAACAATAATCATATAACTGCATCAACCCTAACCCTACCATAACAATAACCCTATATCTACATCAACCCTAACCCTACCATAACTATAACCCTATATCTACATCAATCCTAACCCTACCATAACAGTAACCCTATATCTACATCAACCTTAACCCTGCCATAATAGTAACCCTATATCTACATCAATCCCAACCCTACCCTAACAATAACCCTATATCTATATCAACCCTAACCCTACCATAACAGTAACCCTATATCTACATCAACCCTAACCCTACCATAACAATAACCCTATATCTACATCAATCCTAACCCTACCATAGCAGTAACCCTATATCTACATCAACCATAACCCTACCATAACAGTAACCCTATATCTACATCAACCCTAACCCTACCATAACAATAACCCTATATCTACATCAACGCTAACCCTACCCTAACAATAACCCTATATCTACATCAATCCTAACCCTACCATAACAGTAACCCTATATCTACATCAACCCTAACCCTACCATAACAATAATCATATAACTGCATCAACCCTAACCCTACCATAACAATAACCCTATATCTACATCAATCCTAACCCTACCATAACAATAACCCTATATCTACATCAACCCTAACCCTACCATAACAATAACCCTATATCTACATCTACCCTAACCCTACCCTAACAATAACCCTATATCTACATCAACCCTAACCCTCCCATAAAAATAACCCTATATCTCCATCAACCTTAACCCTACCCTAACAATAACCCTATATCTACATCAATCCTAACCCTACCCTAACAATAACCCTATATCTACATCAACCCTAACCCTACCATAACAGTAACCCTATATCTACATCAACCCTAACCCTACCATAACAATAATCATATAACTGCATCAACCCTAACCCTACCATAACTATAACCCTATATCTACATCAACCCTAACCCTACCATAACAATAACCCTATATCTACATCAACCCTAACCCTACCATAACAATAACCCTATATCTACATCAATCCTAACCCTACCCTAACAATAATCCTATATCTACATCAATCCTAACCCTACCATAACAATAATCATATAACTGCATCAACCCTAACCATACACTAACAATAACCCTATATCTACATCAACCCTAACCCTACCATAACAATAACCCTATATCTACATCAACCCTAACCCTACCATAACAATAACCCTATATCTACATCAACCCTAACCCTACCATAACAATAACCCTATATCTCCATCAACCTTAACCCTACCCTAACAATAACCCTATATCTACATCAATCCTAACCCTACCATAACAGTAACCCTATATCTACATCAACCCTAACCCTACCATAACAATAATCATATATCTACATCAATCCTAACCCTACCATAACAATAACCCTATATCTACATCAACCCTAACCCTACCATAACAATAACCCTATATCTACATCAACCCTAACCCTACCCTAACAATAACCCTATATCTACATCGACCCTAACCCTACCATAACAATAATCATATAACTGCATCAACCCTAACCATACACTAACAATATCCTTAATAACAATATTCCTTCTGCTGACGTCCGTACTGACACACTCTGTGATTGCTCTGTACTGTGCGATTAGGAGGGAGAGCTCCCTGTCACGCTGCAGCTCCTGATAGCCCACATTTATAATTATTGCAGTTCAAATAGATTTAAAGGGCTTTATGCAGTGCTCACTCTGGAAGATCTGTCACTCTGGGCCCCGTAAATATGGCCCAACTAACAGAGAGGAGTCAAGCAGGGATTTTCTGAACTGCTTGGAGCTACCTAATGTCAGGAAGGGGTTAAAGGGAAACTATAGGCTAGGAATAAAGTTGTATTTGTAGCATTATAGTGCCCACCTCGCTCATGCCGCCTCTTCCCACCCCCTCCCCTCCCCACCCCATCGCAGCTCACAAAGGGTTTAACAAAGAACATAATTCACTTACCCGAATCCAGCTCCACCTCCGCTCCTCTTCCCCCGACATCGGCTGACATAGGGGACCTAATGCGCATGCACAGCTTGTACCATGATCGCATTAGGAGAACCCCATAGGAAAGCATTGAATCATGTCTTCATGCATAGTGTAAGGATGTCCAGTAGACAGCCACTAGAGGTGGGGTTAACCCTGCAATGTAATTATTTCTGTTTCTCAATAACTGCAATAATTACAATTGTGGGGTTAAAGCGACAGGGACAGAGCTCCCAGACCACTTCAGTCGTGGTCTGAGTGCCTATAGTGTCCTTTAAGCAAACATAACACAACTCTTTATCTGTGAGGACTTAAATCGTTTATTAAATCTATTTTTTTCTCCTTTTAGACTTTAAGCCTAAAATGTGTAGATCGTACTCCATACCAGGGGGATGTGGCAGTGGTGCATGCTGGGAAAAAGGAAACAGGCAGCCCGATGGCAGACACTCCTACTCGGCCAATCACTCGTCATGGAGGCGTGAGAGACCTTCACGAGTCCAGCTTCAGCCTATCTGGTAAGAGAGGACATATAAGACGTATAGACCAGCAGTACCTTGCACTGCAAATATTGTAACAGAGAAAACACAATGTGAATTTTTCTGACCGGTATGGATATGCGGAATAAGCTATCAACTCCCATCTCCCTGGTATCCTCCGCAAATGACAAAACCTGGAAAGGGAAAAGATACAACCCGATTAGAAGAATATCTCTCACTGTTCTTGGGACACCTAAAGGTTTAATTATTTCACTTGTTGGACCTTTCATGACATTATTGCAACCTGTTCTTCCGAAACAGGGGAATGTGCCAACTTGTGGCTTGCCCAAAAAGTACACTTACTTTTAATAGCTGGTCCACTATCAGCCCCAAACAATAGATTACCCCATGAAGTGCATTTCTTAAAAGCCAACCTTGGAAGGACTGAAACTCTATATCTGGGTGGTTTTTCCCTAAGAATAGGCCAATGTTTCTTTATGGCATGACTCACAGAAGATTTATGTGTTCTAAAACTGGTCACTAAAGTTAACCAGTTTGATGGAACTTTACATCTTGGTACCAGAGTAGACTTTCTAACAACTGTTCTTACCTTGCTCATCTCCGAACTGAGAATATCAATAGGAAACCCTCTGAATTTAAATTTAGAAGTCATCTCTTCAAGTCTTTTGTCAATTAATTAGTCATCAAACACAAGTCTCCTTACTCTAAGAAATTGACTTCTGGGGGGTAGACCTAGAAAATTTTTGGGAATGGGATCTGATAAACAAAAGCAGATTATTTATTTGACAAAAATATCTCTAGAATAGTGGTTTCCGGCACAAATATATTTCACCATCTTAATGCATCAAAATGTCCAAAAAAGGAATCTAAACTAAATCAAATCCATAGAAATCCTTACGGTGGGTTCAAGTTGGTTAATAAAGCCAAAATAGTCCTGTAGTGACTCCATCAAGCCTCCCCACAACACAATGTCATCTATATAATACCACCATCAAATTACATAGGACTTAAACCAACCCAACAGATAAATAGAAAATTCCTCAAGCATAGCGACGTATAAATTACCCTACGTGGTGGCTACATTGGAGCCCATAGAAGTGCATCGTACCTGTACATTAAAATCTTGTAAAAGCAAAAAGTTTGAAGTCAAAACCAATTCCATGAGTTCCTTAAGAAACTTGTTTTTGAATTCTGTATTGCCTAATAACTCAAGTATTCGGTCAGTGGCTGTCAGGCCCTCTTAATGTTCAGTATCAAAGTTTTACTAGAATGAAAGATGGAGGAAGCAAAGTATTTTCATACTTAACAAGTAAATCATCAGAATCCTTAATGTTAGATTTTATAACTTGTAAACCTGGTTTGAGAACCTTATCCAAAAATTTAGACATCGGGCCAAAGGCTGAATCAATACCTACCACTATCAGCTACATAAATTAAAGAAACATTGGGGGCGGAGCCTGGATGCAGAGCGGATAAGACGTGGATCACATGAACTCCAGTGAAAATAACTCCAGTTAAATGTCAATTAACCCAGGCCGCTTGCCAATCCGGACTGATACCGGTGATCACCCAGACAAGAGGACGACGGGACATCCAGAGATACCAAATTTCGGCTATTTTGTTAACGAAACGCTGACAATCAGGCTTGCGGCCTACACAAGCGTGTGCAGAGGAGAGACGGACGTGAGTGAGAACTGCACCAAACTGTGTTCCCTCCACCCCCCAGACCGAGAGGTCATCCCGGTCTCCCAATGACATACTCCTCATATACCTGCTGGCTACAAGAATCTACCCTGATGCGAGCTCGAGCTGCTGCTATCACTCCTAAGATGGCGGCTACTCCTAATCTACAATTGCCTGACAAGACACAAATTGTGAAAACCCTCCAAGACACGTTTGAACGTCTACTCCATAATGTCCAGACAAGGGGACGACGGGGCATCCAGAGGCACCAAATTTCAGCTCTTTACAAGCTTTTGGGCAAAAATGGAGGCCCATGGTACGGAGACACCGCGCCAGAACCAGGAGGAAGCCAGTAGAGAGCAGCAGAAGCACCTGGAACTGTTCAATTAGGCCCGCCTGGGATAAAGACCACCTGGGATATACTACCCCAGCATCTGCCACGGAGGCTGAAGAACCACTTCTGTTGTCCCTTTGTCATTATAACCAGCGGAACCTAAGCTCGCAGACGGGACACAATACATAGAATTGCAATACCGGTCTTTAGAATGGCTGGGATATGCAAAAAGGGATAGTCAAAGTACAAGCCAAGCTCAAAGGGAAACAGAGAGACAGAGTAAACGAAAGACAAGCCAAAGTTCGGTAACCAAATAAGCAGACAGAGTATAACGCACTATTGAGCTAAACACAGACCACAACAGGGCACTGAGGCAAGGGGGAGGTTAGCTTATATACACACAGGGTGTGTCTGATTGATTGGCTAACCTCCAATTAGTGTTAACTACAACACGTGGGAGGTGTTTCTACCTTCTGTTGTGGTCTCTGAGGTCACATGACCGGGTCTGACACACATATAAGGATGCTGTTCTGGAGCGTGCAGCGTTGAAAACACTGTCAGTCTGGAGCACGGCGGCGGGGAGAGCCGCACGCCACGGACAGGGACCAGATGGCGCCGCTCACGATGACGGGGTAAGCAGTGCCGCTGCGAGCGGCGCAGAGGCAAGGGACCTGGCACCGTTGATTGGGAGAGACTTGGCCTCAAGTCAGAGAACACAAGTCTGTGGCTCCGCAATGCCAGTCTTCTACATAGCCCGGGGCTGGAGGGTCTCTACCCTCAACTCCTGCCTTGAACAGCCCATAGACAGCCTCCACGCATTCCCCAAGCTGTGGAATAGGCTGACGCTGGACTTTTTGGCCAGGGCTATCCTTATTTTGACATCGACAAGCCTGCTAACATGGCTCAGAGTGTTATTTTTTTGTGTCTTTTATTCTTTATTTTTCATAACGATTCTACTACTGATTTCGCTAGGAGTCTTGTTCTAACATGTTCAATGTTCAATGCAGCTATAATTCAGGTAATAAAGCCTTAGGGGTTACCTTCATTTATAATCTCTGTGTAGTTGAGCATGTTTCAATAAATACACACATAACTATGCAAAAGGTGGATTCGATGTCCCGTTAGTCATAGTTAACCCCCTAACTTACTATCCACCAGATATCTGTGACTTTGCATCAAGCTTTATACCTAAACCTGATACCACTGTTCTGTTGTGAGCTATTCCCTATATGTCCAGCATGTTACATATCTTAATACACGCAGTGTTTCTCTGATGACATTATTTAGATAAATTGCTCACGTTTAATCTTAAACGTATTATTAGCAAAACATTTTCTGTAATATCGACTGCCCTTCACTGTTTAACTACGTATACTAATTCTCTTGCCACTGCTGTTGGGGCAGCGCAAGACTGTTTGTTCCTCTGATGCACAACAAAAATTTAAAAAAAATTAAAAACAATTTTAAAAAAATTAAAGAAACTTAAAGGAGTCAGCTTCAGCAGCCAGCAATGACTTGTAACTCTACATTCCTCAGCGCGTTTCACTTTATGGTCAACCCTGCTCTGACTGAGTGCAGGTAGCAGAGGGTGAGGAGCAGCCAGCAATGACTTGTAACTCTGCAACCCTCTGTGCGTTTCACTTTATGGTTAATCTTGCTGTGACTGAGTGCAGGTAGCAGAGGGTGAGGAGCTGCGAGCAATGACTTGTAACTCTGCAACCCTCTGCGTGTTTCACTTTATGGTTAATCTTGCTGTGACTGACTGCAGGTAGCAGAGGGTGAGGAGCAGCCAGCAATGACTTGTAACTCTGCAACCCTCGGTGCGTTTCACTTTATGGTTAATCTTGCTCTGACTGAGTGCAGGCAGCAGAGGGTGAGGAGCAGCCAGCAATGACTTGTAACTCTGCAACCCTCTGTGCGTTTCACTTTATGGTTAATCTTGCTGTGACTGACTGCAGGTAGCAGAGGGTGAGGAGCAGCCAGCAATGACTTGTAACTCTGCAACCCTCTGCGCGTTTCACTTTATGGTTAATCTTGCTGTGACTGAGTGCAGGTAGCAGAGGGTGAGGAGCAGCCAGCAATGACTTGTAACTCTGCAACCCTCTGCGCGTTTCACTTTATGGTTAATCTTGCTGTGACTGAGTGCAGGTAGCAGAGGGTGAGGAGCAGCCAGCAATGACTTGTAACTCTGCAACCCTCTGCGCGTTTCACTTTATGGTTAATCTTGCTGTGACTGAGTGCAGGTAGCAGAGGGTGAGGAGCAGCCAGCAATGACTTGTAACTCTGCAACCCTCTGCGCGTTTCACTTTATGGTTAATCTTGCTGTGACTGAGTGCAGGTAGCAGAGGGTGAGGAGCAGCCAGCAATGACTTGTAACTCTGCAACCCTCTGCGCGTTTCACTTTATGGTTAATCTTGCTGTGACTGAGTGCAGGTAGCAGAGGGTGAGGAACTGCAGCTTATTCAGAACAGTTACCTTATATTGAGTTATTTATAATATAATTAGCCATTTAGGGAATTAAACACCACCTGGACCTTTGTAAACCCTCAATAAATAGTACTGGAAGCTCCTGGATCTTGGCTTGTCTGTGTGTACTTTTCATATTTCATGTATTTCTTGCAAAAAGCAGGTGAGCAAATGTCCTAATAGACTCCAAATGAGTATTCACGTTAGTGTGGAATAACTCTTATTGTGTAATAGCATAAGGGAATCTCATTTTAATTAACATGAACAATTTATCAGGTCAGCGTGTGGAAGCAGAAATAAAGTGGAGGAAACATTAAGGTTAAACAGAAAGAATAACACAAATAGTAAAATATTTTACAATGAATAGTACTTAACTTTTGATCACGAATAACAGCCTCCCTAGGATTGTAACCCAGAAGCGACCTGTATCATATATAGAAAACCACAGCAAACAGTTCGGGATATGGCTGTGTAAACCTCTGGAAGGATATAAGATAAAACATTGTGTGATATTGTAACAACACAATTTCGTTATGCGCAACAATATTTGCACTCACTAGATGTAGATAAGTGTAAGCATTCTCAAGGTGCCTCCCCCAATGTATTGGGGGGCCAACAGATCTCTCTGATCACCTCCAGGTAATTATTTCACCACAGGACTTCCACAGGTCAGGGTAAAAAATGTTAGAAATGTATTCAATAAAAAAGTAAGCAGTCACCAATCAGCATAGGATATGAAGAGCAGGAAAAAAAGGTCCTACGCGTTTCGTTCTAAATGAACTTCCTCAGGGACCGCAATAAAAACAATTGAAATGTATCAATACATATTACAAACAAACATATCCTAAAAAAAACCCTTCCCTGTGTCCTTAAATAGGGCTAATCCCTAAGTCCATTGGTGGATTCAGTGGGCGTGTGGATCCTCTTCTATTTGGATTGGAGAGGGAATCTTCCTCCATCAGCTGTTTCTAGCTTCTCCATAAAATTGGCGCCCTTTTTCGGCAGAAAACTGGAAGTGGCCGTCATCGCCGGGACTGGAAGTGATGTCGCAGGTACATCTGCGTTCCAGTGGCCATTAATCTCTATGGCAACCGGACACGCAAATACAGCTACAATTCATGTAGATCAAGGAAGAGGTGAATGAAGCTCCGAACTCTACTAGAAAAAACATGTGTTAGCTATATTGGACTCAAAACCCCCTAATGCATTATCCATATATCACTATACAATTGATGTTAGTAGCTTTTATAGTTAGTCAAACTATATCATCTATATAAGCTTCAAATTAAACATAAATTATATTCACTAAAAACAAACAATATAAAAGGCTTTTATGTATAAAATAATAAAGTGCAGTGAATAAAAGTGAAAAGGATGTTTCTCTAGATATGAAGAAAGAAACTCCAATCCTATAAACACCCATATCTATAATTTTTAAAGGGATATGACAACTTAAATCCCAAGTGTAAAGTGTTTGACCAAACAGTTCATTATATATCCCCATTCAATGGATCCACAATAATTGTTCTGTGTCATATGCATAAACCCTTGAAACAACTTATAATAATAATCAAAATACAAAAAAGATTTTATAAATATACATATCTTTTTAAATTTATGATTATATATAATGTAATACTACTAATTCCTAACTGTAGAAAAAGCCCCACAATGGGAGCAAACACACATACCCATATTGTATGTAAAATAAATAAATCTATGTTTATATATTAATTGTAATAAACAATATTAATCCAAAAAGCAAATTAAATGAATATCTATATTTAAACCTCTTGGCGTGAGGGTATGAAGTTTGTGGATCCAGAAAGTTTCTCTCTGGGCTAATCTCTGGACCCTATTACTCCCACACCAAAGGGGAAGCACCCTCTCAATCCCCAGACATCTAAAGTCCTTGAAAGAGAAAAAGGGGCACGATATACAGTGGGCGGAAACGGAATGTGTCATTAATCCCTTTTTAATATTTTAGGATATGTTTGTTTGTAATATGTATTGATACATTTCAATTGTTTTTATTGCGGTCTCTGAGGAAGTTCATTTAGAACGAAGCGCGTAGGACCTTTTTTTTCCTGCTCTTCATATCCTATGCTGATTGGTGACTGCTTACTTTTTTATTGAATACATTTCTAACATTTTTTACCCTGACCTGTGGAAGTCCTGTGGTGGAATAATTACCTGGAGGTGATCAGAGAGATCTGTTGGCCCCCCATTACATCGGGGGAGGCACCATGAGAATGCTTACACTTATCTACATTAGTGAGTGCAAATATTGTTGCGCATAACGGAATTGTGTTGTTACAATATCACACAATGTTTTATCTTATATCCTTCCTGTAGATTTACACAGCCATATCCCGAACTGTTTGTTGTGGTTTTCTAAACTGAAAGAATGTGTGTTAAAGAAAGGGGTTTGGGGGTAAAGGAGGAGGGGGCAGGTAAAGTGTCTAATTTCTAGCATTATTATGAATGCGAGAACAAACATACCAGCACTGACAGAGTGCATAGAGGCAGAATAATTTACAAATTGGTCATTGAACA